TAGAGAGAGAGAGAGAGAGAGAGAGAGAGAGAGAGAGAGAGAGAGAGAGATTGATTGATTGATTTCTCTCTTCGTGGATACTGGGGATAGCATTCAGGGCCTCTTGAATCAGTGGTGAGAGCTTTACCAGCGTAACTGTCTTCCCCAGCTCTAAGCATGATTCAATCTTTTTTTCTGGCTTGTGACATTTGCTTGATTTCCCATCCCTGCATTACCCCAGAGGATTGTCCATATTTCCTTTCTCTTTCCCACTGGTATAATTCTCCCAGGACACTGTGCTCTGCTTTCCCCAGTGGAGGCCTTGCTCTAGCTCCTTTGCCTGAGTATGCAATTTTAGTATACCCTCTAGCAGGAGGGTGCTATGGGAGCTTCTCTCTCCTTTTTGCAGAAACAGTTCATTGTTTCTTTCTCCATGTGACTCTTACAGGTGGTGGTGACCCTAGGGGACCCCAATGTGACTGCTCCATCAAGCTCGGTTGGCCTAACCAACATCACCGTGACCCCCATCACCACTGCAGCTGGGACTCAGTTTACCAATTTACAGCCAGTGGCTGTTGGACATCTTACCAACCCTGAACGCCAGCTACAGCTAGATAACTCCATCCTGACTGTGACCTTCGACACTGTCAGTGGTTCAGCCATGTTGCACAACCGGCAAAACGATGTCCAGATCCACCCACAGCCAGAAGCCACAAACCCTCAGTCAGTGGCCCACTTTATCAACCTCACCACACTGGTAAACTCCATCACACCCTTGGGGAACCAACTCAGTGAGCAGCACCCACTCACCTGGCGAGCAGTGCCCCAGACAGATGTGCTGCAGCCACCACAGGCCCCTGCAGCACCACAGCAGGCGGTACAACCGCAGGTCCAGAGTGAGCAGCAGCAGATGTACAGCTACTGATCTGTGGCTGCAGGACAGGCGGAGCTGCAGCAGGGGGCTCTGAGGTCTTGAGGTATTTGCTGAATACCAAACAGGAAGAGTGTGCACATGTCAGGATCACTGAGATTAGCATTACCGAGTTATCTATCAGTTTAGCTGGTGACATGGCCTTTGGCAAGCAGGAGCTTCCACCATGTGTTTCCCCAAGGTGACGCAGCCTGGCCAGACCACAGTGTCACCCTCAGAGGTCTGTAATTGTCATGGGGCTCAGGGACACAGATAGCAGGATTCTAGAAGCAGGCGTGATATCCCAAGGACCAGGGAGATTTGATCTGTTTTCTTTAGCACTCCAATGACGATACTGAAATATGGCTAGCCTTCTCAGGCAACACATAGAAGCAAACCCAGGTTTCTCCTTGCTCCTGAATTCACAAGCAGGGAGAAGTTAAGTAACTCTACTTCTGAAGTCTCAGTTCATATGTCACAGAGCTGTAGCCTGAGGCCTTCTGTGAAAAATATCATGAGGCCCCCAGCTCAGGCACAAAAGATATCTTGGGAACATCTATAGATTGATTTTTATGAACAGTCTGTTTTATTTCATAACCACGTTGTGTATTATGGCCCTCTTGTGGCCAATATTGATTTCTTTTAATATGATAAAGTCGTTTGCACTGTAGGGTGTTGGTCCCTGTCCAGTTGTGCACAGATGCCTTGTGTGAGGCCACACACAGTTGTGTGCAAAGTGAGCCCTCACCCTTGAATCCCGGTGCTCCTCGGGAGCTATCTCAGGACTCTGCCATCCAAACATATGTATTATGGTGCAGCTTAGCCACATCCCTGAATGAAGAATGGGGAGTGAGCCCATGTTTCCTTTCTGTGTAAGCCTTAATTCCAAAGGTGGTTGAGTCTGAAGACCAATTTCCTATGAAATGCAGAGGTTCAGCTCTGCAGGAGAGAAGCGTAGCTAGTGATTTAAGAAACCTGAGAGGTGCTTTCCTGTGGTGATGAGAGCAGAAGAGGTCATCGTGACAGTGACTACAAACTGGCCACACCCAGCTCTGAGGGAACATGGCTAGCACAAACCTGTGCTATCCCAGTGGCAACAGGCCAGGCTGCCATCATAGGGTCCACAGTCCAGCACAGGGACATGAAGAGGCGAGGTAAGGAGAGAGTTTGGTCTCACTCTTCTCATCAGTTTTTAATGTCATACAAAAGAAGAACTTAAAGATGAACTTGCTTTACTTTGTCCTTGGTCCCATGTTTCCTGGATGTATTCAGATGTGGGCAGCCATCCTACAGAGATGGATACTAACTAGCAGTGGACAAGGGAAGTTACAGTCAGCCTGATAGCAGACAAGATGCCACTTTCTCAGCACCTCATTCCAGAGAACAACCTTTGAGGATGAGGCTGCAGCTTGTGTTACACAGTTGGAGCATAAGGAAGAGATGACACTCAGGACAGGTCTGTGGGTCACCTGGCCACACCCTCTCCACATCCACACAGGCCAGTCTCACCTCTTAGCTGATGGCATGCTGGGAGTTCTTGGACTTCTTAATTTATGACAGTTGTTTTTATGTTATTTATGTGTATAATTAACTACTTTGTACACAGTACCCTTATAAAATTAACTTGGCCTAGGGGTGAACTGTTTTCTAAGATATAGCCTTCGTTCTCCAAATAAAACTATTCCAGGAAACCATGGAAACAGTGGGCAATCCATAGTTGTTAACTATTTTTTAAAAATTCAACCACAATTCCTCTTTGCCTTTATATCCTCTCAGAGATGAATGAGTTGAGTCCAGATGAGCACTGGACTCAATCAGACATCACTAGCATTTGACTTTTATTCTCTTCCCACTGAAATAAAGGCCTTTGAAATCACATTTTTATTTTTTAAAGATGTATTTTTGTGCCTACAGCCAGGTTGTCAAATCCTGTTGGAAGACAGAGCTTAGGTTGTACAGTCTCTCCTGCTGCCACTGTTTGCTTAAATACACAGAGGCATCTGCTTCCTGCTGTTATAAGCAGGAACTCAGATAAAACCAGCCTTTCTCCCCAAGCGTCTGTGACACATGGTCTCACCAGTCATTGACTGAGGCAAGCAGGTTGTCTTAGCATACTTATAGCTCCTCCACATGTAGCAACTGGATAGCAAAACAAAGGCTTCTTCACACTCCAGGCACCCTACATACATAGACCATTGTTGATTGGCAGGAAGTGTTCAGATTTTTTTTTTTAAACTGGTCTAAAGCTGGCATAGTTATGTGTCCAACAAGCCCTGTGACTATGTCTAGGTTCGCATAAATAAATGTATCAGACTTTGTTTACACCTGTGAATGGTAATGTTATAGGATCACATGTCGTGGCAAGATCAATCTCATAGTTGCACAGGGTTCTACCCTCTGGGATCATGTTAGCCAGTGATAAGCTCTCAGGAAAAGGGTCTGTACCAGGTGCCCTCTCCTATGTCAGGCATGAAAGCCTGCTGGAGAGTGGTCCCTCGGGAAAGGCAGATCTTTTCTCCTTCACACCACTCTCAGTCAGTATCCAAAGGCAGAGGCAGTGCCTGTGACTCCCATAGATGCTGAGGGTTGTGAAGACCATTCTGTAACTCTGAGGGTGTTTGATGTCACATCTGTCTGTATGGTGGTAAATAAAGGTGCTGTGACCTGTGTTTTTCAATTGCTGGCCCTCTGCTCTCCTGCCCATGGTGATCTGAGAATGGCTCTGGTTCCTGTTACAGGTGATGTCCTCATTTCCCTGCAGTCCTGAGGTGCATGTTTGGATCATTTGAAACACCCTGAGATACTGAGTGTCAGAAACTTCCCCAAGAGTTACAATACGAGCTTCTTAGTCAAAATGAGATCAGACAATGGCCACCAGGTTGTCCTTGGCAAAGCTTTTCTGTGGGCCTATGATTTCAGATGGTCCCTTACTTACATTGATCAAATTAAGTGGTGGGTTCTAGTTCGTCTCTATGGGTTTTATATTTGTTTTGAGACAGGGTCTCATAGAGCCCAGGCTGGCTTTAGACTCTGAATTTCTTGTTACTCCCCCTCATCCCCAACCTGCCCCCATTTGCACCTCCCAAGTACTAGAATTATAGGCATGCACTACCGTGTCCAGGTTAAGAGTCTTTTTAAAGCCATGAAACCCCTTTTATTATCAGTCCTCAAAGGAGTTAACCACCAGGACATTTCACGTATCTTAGCATCTGGTAGTGTCTAGCTCTCCTGCTGGTAAAACCTATTTAACCTTAATAGTTAGGGGCCTTTCCCTGTGGGTCCAAGCCTGTATTTCCCTCTGCACTCAGCAGACATTGGATGTACTAGTAGGAGAGATGGGGCAGCCCTTTCTCATTTCCACAGGTGATCCACTTGCACTATAATATACCCCATGGTACTCTGTTTTCAGACACTTGATCTGAAGACACCTGACTGAACTTAAAGGAGGGCTTACCTGGTCTCCCAGTTTCAGTTGGTACAGTCCTTTCTGGCAGGGGAAGTTGGGTGCCTGGAATAGCCCCATGTGTCGTGTCAAGAACTTGTGTCAGTAGTTTTTCCCTAATAATCTGGGAGACGTTGCAGATTTGAACCATAACATTTGTGTTCCTAGTCCCCACATACTCATTGGTACTTCATAATGCAACTACATTCAACTATAAAGATCCCAGATCTTTACAGCCCCAACACTTGCAGCCTCTTAGATGGAGATAAATAAAGGCACAGAGTAGCCTAGGAGACAGTGAGGACATACCCAGCCTCACTTGTGAACTGTTAAACTCTGTAGACGCACATCTGGGGCTTACGAGCACATCATCTGTGTGCCAGTGGCTAGAGCAGCTCCCACTTCCACTTGGTTTGCAGCACACGTGGTTTCTCTCTTTCTTCCTTCCTTCCTTCCTTCCTTCCTTCCTTCCTTCCTTCCTTCCTTTCTTTCTTTCTTTCTTTCTTTCTTTCTTTCTTTCTTTCTTTCTTTTGTTTTTCAAGACAGGGTTTCTCTGTATAGCCCTGGCTGTCCTGGAACTCACTCAGTAGACCAGGCTGGCCTCAAACTCAGAAATTTGCCTGCCTCTGCCTCCCAAGTGCTGGGATTAAAGGCGTGCACCACCACTGCCCAGCCACACGTGGTTTCTTTTGGGCCGGCTTCACCTTGTCGGTACCTGTAGTTCTTCTGGGAAGGTGATTTGTTTTCTTGGAGTCTATCCATGAGTCTCCATTGGAACTTAGGCTTCACCTTTACAGAGCTTTGGGAACTCCCTGAAGGAAACACAGCCCTGCTGTATACTGCCTGGCCTCCCAGGCTTTTCTCTGGAACCTCGGTGTAAACATTGAGTTCAGCACCAGCTTAAAAGCAGCAGCACATAAACATTGTAAGTTCTGCTTGCAGCTCAAGGTCTATCCCCTTGGACTATGGCTGCAGCAGCCTCCAGGTACTATGTAGTCAAACTTTAGCTGTTTGGAGGGCACTTAATATACAGATCTTTAAGTATATAAGCTAAGTTATTATTTATTAACGTTGTCTCTGGATACAGTAAAAACAAGATCCCAAAGAAATAGAACCATCTGGGTGGGCCTCTGGCTTCTCTCACCAGTTTCTGTGTGACTTGAACACATCAGTCTTGACAGGTTAAAATGAAGGTGTTGGTCTGGCTTGAACCAGCCTTCTACCCAAGCCCTTTTCAGAGACTGACTCTCTGAGACTTAAAGTATACAGGGTGCTAGAATTCCCAGAACGCTGGAAACAGGAGTACATAAGATACCTCAAACCCCAAAAGCTTGCTGGTCCTCCTCACATGCTTGCCCTCTCATTTCCACAAACACATGGGTAAGGGTGCCCCTTGCTAAAGTAGACCCACCTGTGACTCTTTTCCTGGAGGAGCCTCTCCCCTCCAGGAAAAGAGAGGCTGGGAACCCAAGAACTGCTTCCTGCTGAGCTTAGTTTGCTCCACACAGGTGGGATGCACGTCCATCCCAACACTGGTAGTTATTCACCTGTGTGAAGCCTGGAGCTTAGCTCCCAATAAGCTTGTCTCTTCCTTCAGGATGAAATGGAGCTGCTGGCCAGGTTATGAGCTATCTTCTAGAATATTCCATAGTTAGAACATGATGATATAGCTCTGTCAGGTGTATTGGCTGCAGCCACAGGAAGCCTGTTTTCCTGTTTCTTGTTGCATTAAACACTAGTCCATCTCCACCCAGTGTCTTAAAGAATGATCAAGATGATTATATGTAACTTGCGGAGTCACAGTTTTGCCACCTAGCCCTCCCCGCTGTCCTCAAGTGACCTGCCTGCTTCCTTCCCACTGGTGGCTTCATGCTGTTTCAGCTTTGAACCAGTCATCCCCACTGAGCACTGACCCCTGTCTCTCCCTTCTGTTAATGTGTATGTGCCTCTTAGATTATGGCTCAAATACCTTTTCTAGGAATCTTCTAGAAGCTCTCATTTCCCACTCAGACAATGGTCTGTCTTTTCTTCATAGGCCTCGAGACTGGCAGTCACAGTGAGTAAGTGGTTCCTACCTACTCTGTTTATGTGCTTTCTTCCTGCCCTTCAATAAGCTGCAGAAGAGAATGATTATTTCCTTACTTTCTCAACATTTCCCTGAACCTG